CTTGCACAATGCAGGCTACAGAATCTCACCCACCCACTCCTGTATCAAACCCCTAACCTATATCTGAACTATTGAAGTCCTCAAATCATGGTTTAATGACTTCAAGGTGCAGCGAATCCTCCAGCAAGTGACCCGTGCCCCACGCTGCAGAGGAAGGCGAAAAACCCCCAGGGCCTCTGCCAATCTGCCCTGGAGGAAAATTCCTTCCCGACCCCAAATATGGTGATCAGCTAAATCCTGAGCATGTGGGCAAGACTCACCAGCCAGCCTCCTGCTGCAAGACAAGAAAGAAACCAACAGAACTCCACTGGCCATCACCTACAGTCCTCAGCTAAAACCTCTCCAACGCATCATCAGTGATCTACAACCCATCCTGGACAACGATCCCTCACTTTCACAGGCCTTGGGAGGCAGGCCAGTCCTCACCCACAGACAACCCGCCAACCTTAAGCATATTCTCACCAGCAACCACACACCGCACCATAGTAACTCTAACTCAGGAACCAACCCATGCAACAAACCTCGATGCCAACTCTGCCCACATATTTACACCAGCAACACCATCACAGGACCTAACCAGATCAGCCACAACATCACCGGTTCATTCACCTGCACGTCCACCAATGTAATATACGCCATCATCTGCCAGCAATGCCCCTCTGCTATGTACATTGGCCTAACTGGACAATCCCTACATAAAAGGATAAATGGACACAAGTCAGATATTAGGACTGGCAATATACAAAAACCTTTAGGAGAACACTTCAACCCCCCTGGCCACACAATAGCACATCTAAAGGTAGCCGTCTTGCAGCAAAAAAACTTCAGGACCAGACTTCAAAGAGAAACTGCTGAACTTCAGTTCATTTGCAAATTTGACACTATCAGCTCAGGATTAAACGAAGATTGTGACTGGCTAGCCAACTACAAAAGCAGTTTCTCTTTCCTTGGTGTTCACACCTCAACTGCTAGAAGAGGGCCTCATCCTCCCTGATTGAACTAACCTTGTTATCTCTAGACTGATTCTTGCCTGCATATTTATACCTGCCTCTGGAAATTTCCACTACATGCATCTGACGAAGTGGGTATTCACCCACGAAAGCTTATGCTCCAATACGTCTGTTAGTCTGTGAGGTGCCACAGGACTCTGTTGCTTTTTACAGATGCTGAATAACACGGCTACCCCTCTGATACTTGATTAATTTTAGTGTCCTAAAGATAAAGAGTCTGGTCTGTACTTTTATTAAAGGCAATTGGTTGGTATATTATTCTTAAGCTTCCCCGGGAAAGGGGGTGAAGAGGCTTGGGGGAATATTTTGGGGAAATAGGAACTCCAAGTGGTCCTTTTCCTGAATCCTTGGCTAAATCACTTTGTGGTGGCAGCAATACCGTCCAAGGACAAGGGGAAGTTTTAACCTAGGCTGGTAGAAATAATCTTAGGGGGTCTTTCTTGCGGGTCCCTACATCTGTACCCCAGAGTTCAGAATGGGGAGGGAACCCTGACAGGGTTACACTAATGCAAGTGAGTAAGAATTGCACATGACAGCCCTTGATCTTTCTTTGTACACCAATCCCTTCTATTGCCGTTATTTTTGTTGCATTTCTCTGAATTCCCTCTAGTTTAATTTCCTTCTGATAATGAGGCAGCGGGTACCAGCTGTGGATTAACAGTCCAAGGTGTGTGTGTGTCAGATACAGTACTTTTTCCCCCTTCTTCTAAATTTGGCATTAAGAGACTAGCAATAGGTGTTTAGTGAAAGATAATGGAAGTGTCGAACATTAAAATGTGTAGGATTACACGTGGGATGAATTACTAAGTGGAACAGAGGTTGAAAACAAATTAAACAAAGTGAATCTGCCCACAAGGGCCAGGTGTAGGAGATTTAGTGAAGGTGGTGTAGGCACTGACACTGAATTAAACATCTTTGTTCCCTTTCTCAGTCAGACTTCTCCCCCATAACCTAACTCCACAGACTTTTCTCTGCTCTGCAACAGTCCTTCCAGGTCTGTTTTTCTCCTAGCTACTGGGAGTGGCTACCCATGTTATATTGTGCTGATAACTCTGAGCACTGTCATTAGAATGAGTACTAAGGGTACGTCCACACTACCTGCCAGATCGGCGGGTAGCGATCGATCTATCGGGGATCAATTTATCGCGTCTCATCTAGATGCGATAAATCGATCCCCGAACACGCTCCCATCGACTCCGGAACTCCACCAGGGCGAGAGGCGGAAGCGGAGTCGATGGGGGAGCCGTGGCCGTTGATCCTGCACCGTGAGGACGGGAGGTAAGTCGAACTAAGATACATCGACTTCAGCTACGCTATTCTCATAGCTGAAGTTGCGTATCTTACATCGACACCCCCCCTCCCCCAGTGTAGACCAGGCCTAAGTCTTGAAATAAATTGGAGCATCAGTTTGTATTCTGACTGCTGTCATAGAAAAAGGAGAATCTTGTGGTTGTACTCCCCAGGAACTGGAAACCATTGCGTCTAGGAGCAATCTGCCTGCCTCTGTGTGTGTGCCTAATCTGCCACAAGTGTAGTATCAGAAAGAAAAGGTGGGTGACTAGGAATATTTTAGAAATGAGCCTGAGTAAAAAGATTGAATATGGATCCAGATCCCAAGTTTGGGGACACTTGAATGTGAGGTTTTGATTTAGGCTCATCTCACCTCAAACCGTAGTGAATATTTTAGATACAATCTGGCACAAACACTGAAATTTTATCATTGCAAAGTATGTTCTTCCACACTAATTTACAATGTGAACTCTGGTATATAAATAGAACAAGCCATCAATAACACTCCAACAAATACATTATGTTTTTTCCCAGAACAAAAATATGTTTTGTTGTCTCAGCGCAAGGCAATTATTGGACACCTATTGGTTTTAGAAATAACGTGTTTACATGAAATTTGTTGGGTGTGAGAACTGAATGTTACATTTTCTACACTTCTGGGAAACTTGAATAGAGCACATGCAGAACTAGATCATGGTTTTCTAGCTGGTTTACCTCTTTGAAATGTCCAGAAACAAACAACTTTCCCAATCTCTCATCATAGTTGAGAGGTAATCACTTGTCTTTGAAGGAAGGATAAGGTTTTTCAATGGAATTTAGACAGGTGATTTGCTTAGGGAAGACAATTTGTTTTTTTATATTAGAATAAAAAGCACCTTTGTTTTTAATTTTTATCCTTAGAGCAAAATGTTTCTTCTTCATGCAGTGATGTAAAGGGGATATGATCAGAAGGTTTGAGCAAGGGACTAAGAGAGAGGGATGACTGCTGAGGCCCTATTCATGTCAGTGGGAGATATATGCCTCCAGTTAATGGGGTAATCAGGTTGAAGGTCTGACTCCTGGCTCTCTTACTGTTTCTTGATGTCTCCTCGGGCAAGTTACTTAACCTAGGAGCAGAGGCATTGTTCTAAGGCATAATGCCTCTGATGCTGTTAATCAGGCTGTGTTCTTCCTCCCATCCTCTCAGGTGCTCAGCCTCATAGGACATATTACTGAAGCCTAGAACGGTTGTTTTAGTTTGTAAATATAATAATGGTGAAAGAGAGCCTCTAAACAGTTTCTCCTGAGAGTGATGGACTAATAGCACTGACTTCATAGCAAGGAGTCACGTGCAACCAGGACCTTCAATATCTGTGCTACAAAACTCTTGGCCAGAAACTACCAGAGACTAATTATGAGCATGTTTAGCCTTTTTAAAAGATGTAGCGGGCATTCTAGTCCATACTGGGGAAGGGTCATGGGCCTTTCAGTTCCCACCCAAACACCCACTCACCTGCCCTCTCCCTCACTAGCACATGGTTTTCACTTGATCACGAACATGAAGTGAAAGTGACAAGGGGTTACTTGCCTCTCCCCTTCTACCACTTCCTTAGAGTGATCAAACACATTGTTTAGTAAAGTAACTATTTAGGAGCTCAGACTGCACAGTGATGGGTGTGTAATATCAATGCTTAACTAGATGAGGTTAGGTGGGAACATCTGAAAACACACAGAGCCATGTACTTTCCTCAGTGAAATTATGATGTCAATGAGAATATTACCTCTTCTGGAGGGGCAATGTGTGGCGCTTCACTGCCTGTATTTGTATAGCTAGAGATACAAAATTTCCAGACAACAAACACCCATTCTACTTAGAAAAAGAGCATTGAATAGGAAATGGTTCTGCATGTCAACTAATTCACATTTATTTTAATGAGTTGAGGTATGTTTTCAGAATTGTTTTATGAGTCAGTATTTTGCTTGAAGTACACCCACTTCAGAATGATTGAAATGTGCTTTGATGTAGCTTTTGAGTGAGCATCTGCAAATAATGTTCAGGCATCATTCTTACGAAACCTTTGTTCCTACACCTGCATTGCTAATTGGCATAAAACCTACTCTAAAAGTTGTGTGGTATAGTTTTTCAGCAGATATTCGTATTCCGTTTATACATTAGCTACCACTCCCGAATTACTGTTCTGTAAAGAATAAACAAACATTTACATCTCATTATCAAATATTAGGGGCTCTCTGCTGCACAGTTCAGTTGTGGAGTGTTCTAGATATAAACGCAAAGTCAAAAGTTAAGATGAGGACAGGAAGTGACTTATATTCTTCAAATTTAATGGGATGCTGTCATCCAGGCTTGTTTGACACTTTTTAAAAAATAAAGTGTCTGATAAAGGCCTGTCACAGGGATGGCTGCCCCGTGAGTACCCCTTCATGGGCAAAGGTCACTCTGTGGCACTCTGTGCACGCCGAAAAGAATTGAAAAAATGTCATTCCAGGTTGAACAAAAGTTTTGTTTCATTTTTGAGTTTGTGCCTTTTTTAAAAAAAAAATCTTGAAGTATATTTCAAAGCAAAAAGTAATTTCAAATCAAAATGTTTCATTTTGATTGTCAAAATGAAACGTTTCGACTTTCTCTGCATTTTTTTTGACTGAAAAAATTTGGCAAATTTGACACAAATTTCCAAAATGTTTCAGTTGACCCAAATCTTCTCTCTCTTTCTTTCTTTCTTTCTTGCAACCAAAAAAAAAAAAGTTTAGTCTGACAAATGTCACCTAGCTCTAGCCCTAAGTGCAACAATTCCAAAGAAGCTCAGGTCCGCTATATTCTCTGGGCACACACCTGCCTGTTGCCTCTTCCATTTCAGCCCTGCTGTTGGTGAACTCTTTTCTGTAAGGCCTGGGAAAAGGTATGCACGATCAAAACCAAGGGTGAAACTGAGAAACTGCAAAGCGATGTCAAATGCACAAAATATAAGAATTGGAAACAGAGAGAAAAATATTATTGAATCCATTCTAATGACAGTTTTCTTAAGGGGTTACTTTGGACAATATTAGATAGAAACTCTTCAGTTGGACGTGTAGTTGTTTTTTTCAAGTTGACATTGTGCCTTTCAATAATACAGTTGTCTTGTCTGTGGTCTATCTGCAAGTCTCAGCAAAAAGGTCAAGGATTTCATCAACACTGAAACTAAACTACTCTTTTCCATGTAGAAGTGTGGTCTTCCAGGGAAGGGTTAAGACACATTGGTGAGGCAATGTTGGGAAGCCTGTCCTTACTGCAGCCCTGTGAATAAACAAAGGTACCTTTCTGAGAAGCATTAAATTTACTCAAATTACTTTATTTTAAAAGGTAGAAAAGCATCAAGGACAGCACATGCGTAAGTCCCATGTATGTCAATGGAACTTAAGTGTGTGCTTTAAATCAATTACATGCCTAAGTGCTGTCCTGAATATGGATGGACTCTCCCGGGTGGATTTAAGCATGCTCTCATGTGATTTCCTGAATCTAGGCCTAATTGTATGACCCCAGCATATTCTACCTGTGTCCTTATTATACAGATGTTTGTCAGACATCTTTATGTCCAAATTAACCATGTTAGGAGACCAAAAGGGAAAATCATTGACCAATATCCCTTCTGTATAACTGTAAAATAGGTTACTATTTTCTCCTCTCTTGGCAACCTTGATGTTGAATGAAGCCCTCTTCCTCTGTGGCTGATATCAACATCAAGAACATCCACATCAAGCAACGCTGCCAGTGTCAGAGTAGGATGGTGTTAACAAGGTTGCTTGCCCCTCCATGGGCCGGAGGCCTGGGCCTAGACAACCTTGATTTACTGCAGAGGCACACCTGAGAGAGTTCAGCTGTTCCCTCATCCACGGTAGCAGGAAGCTACAGAGAGCGGGAGAAGCTCAGGAGGCTCTGTCTAGAGACACTGCAGTGATTGAGAGAGGCTCCTGCAGGGAAGAGCTGAGACCAGTGGAGTCGCTCTAGCTAGAAAGGGCTGGAGTAGCCTGCTAAAGCAGAAACACCAGGGGAGTTTGGCGCCTTGCCCAGCTGGAGGGAAGATTTGTGTGTTTATTTTTTACCTCTAAGTTAATAACCAGCTCCTAAGGAGGGCTGTTGTTATTGGACTTGTAAAAGTCTCTTCTTTGAGTTAACTGAGGAACTGAGCAGCCAATTGTAGGGCTGCCCTGAGGCCTTGAGGGGGCACTTGGGACACTGCCAGCCTGGTGACAGATGGGAATTGGGCTTCAGCATTTACTATAACGTCATAGCTGTTCCAGCAAGAATATGTAAACTGTAGTGGTCGCCTGTTTCTCCTTTAATGACATCACTATGCTGTTTTTGGCAGAAACTCAGCAGAGTTTCTCTGTTTTCCTTTTATCTGCACGTGCACGCCGTGTGTGCAGTGTGACGGGGCCACTGATTGAAAATAAAAACAATAAAAATAAACAAACTAACCCAGGCTCTTCACAGAAGTTAAACCTGCTAGGGGAACCTCCCACTGATTGACTCATCATAGATCAGTGCTTTGAGAGAAGCCTGAGGGAGTGGATGGAGATTATAAGAAGCAAAGTGCAGAGCAGAGATCTTGGCTGCACTCAGATTTCTAATGAATGTTTGGTATTGGCTCAGGAGATCAGTATTTGACAGTTCTGCATCTAGAACTGTTTGCCCGAGATCCGAGGTAAATGCACCACTCCCCCAGCGCAGGGAGGTGTTAGTTGCACATACGGCACCAGCCTCACCCCTACCCTCTCTCCTGGCATTCTGCTCGGCAGCTTTAAGTTCCACCAGAGGCTCCTTGGGTACCACACAGATGGAGACTGCAGTGGGCACATGTGGAATACCACACCTCAATACCACCCTTGTCCCCTGCCAGCACCACAGTTCAGACTTGTGCTGGCCACCTCTAGGCCCCACTGATGGAGGAGAAGTTGGGTCTTGTTTGTTCCTCTGCAACCCCTCTCCAGCGGGCTTTGCATCAACTGGGTCCTTGATCCCTGCTGTCTGACAGCAGAAGCTGGTGTAAGCCAGTGGTGAATGTGACTCTAGCACTCTGGCTGTGAGTAACTCTAAGCGTTGTCCTGAGCCCATTCGTTGCCTCGTGCTCCCCCTTCTCCTCCCTCGCCCTGCTCCTTTGGGCTGAACAAGTTTCTCTCCTTGCTTTGGCCAGGAATATTAGAGAGACTGCTGACATCAGCACTCTAGCCTGTTGTTTTGCTGAAGTAATGAAATGAAATGTGGGTGATGGAACAGCAGTCAGCCACAACAATTTCAATGCCTAGTCTCTGATCATTCCAGGGCATCTCAAAGCACTTTACAAAGTTGTACAGTAATTTAATAATACAGTCTGCTGGGCCAAGCTTGCAGCTGAAAGTAAAGGAAGACTTGAATCTTCAGTTTCAATGTACGCCACTGACATCTCTAGGGAGTCGGCATGACTCAAAGAGACTCGTGTGTTAATAATGAAATAGTTCTGCGAACCTTAAAGGGATATTGTCAGGTCAAATTTGGGCCCAATTGTATGTTTTGAAAATACAGGCTCTTATTGAACATAAGACCATAGAAATGTTTGCATGCATTTAAAATAAATGGAAACTTGTTTATTATTGTTGTTTGAAAGGAACTATTCTCAGGAAGGGTTTTCAATCCAAATAAGGCTCCATTGTATTAGTGCATGGGACATGGAAAGTATAAATGATATGAAACAAAGTGCAACATATGAGTATGTGGGGAAGGTGAAAGAAATGCAAAAAAACCCACAACAGAATGGACTTGATCCACATAGGGAAGATCTATTCTGCATACTGGCAGCTTGTAAGATTAAACAGTCAAAGGCCAACTTCAATGTGGCACTCAAAACGTTTCTGCACCCTTATAGATATATATGCATTCTTATGTAGTCTTTACAGTTTCTGCAGCACTGTAATCACATGATGTTTAATTGCAGGATGTCAGACTATTGCCCAGATCACACACTATATTATTAAACTATTTTTCTATAACATTAGATACAGGTGTGTAGCATTTTGCAATATTGTTTACTACTCTGCAGATGCCAGAGAGAGAGTTGATTAAAGTCATTTAATACAATATATCTTTATATGGGGAACAGATGATTAATTATAACATACAATGATATTGAAAATTTGCTGGCCATATTTAGAACACCTAAATTCACAGCTCAGTTATCGTCCTAGTTAGCTGCCTCTTCACCTAAACTACACCTAAGGAAGTTTAAGCTCAATTTAACTCTACGTGCATGCTATTTTTATAGCTTGCTACCTCATGTCCTGAATTAAACCTAAGGAAGGCTGTGGTATGCACAGATAAATTAACTTAATAATTAATTGGCTCATATTCTCAACTGCATCTAAGGAAATCTGTGCCACTGATTGAAAAGAAAATGCATTGTACGTAGAGTAGTATTTAAGTCAAGGTATTTAAAATAGCCACTAATTAGTTTGGTTTTGGTGGGAGGCCCTCCAGAGCGGTGGACTTCAGAGTTACTACCTCATTGGGATGAATAATGCAGGTCATACTTCTCAGTGCTGTTGTTTCAGGCTGCAGACTCAGGCAAGTGTCACTGCATCAATTATTCTCAGGCCATGTTTGGAAACTTTCAGGAACATAGCAGTTTCCACAGTGGATCAAACCCAAGATCCATCTAGTGCATTAGCCTGTCTTGGACAGTGGCTAGTACCAGATGCTTCAGAGAAAGGTGTAAGAACCCCACACTAGGCAGATGTGGGATAACAACACCCCCCTCCCCACCCACACACACACACATAGATCTGACCCTGATCTCTAATCATTAAAAATTGGCTTAAACCCTTAAACCTTTTCATCACACCATGAAGTCTAAAAATACAAATGTTTTAAATGAAAGCTGAGAGATGAGACTCTGACCTGATTCCCTGGCTCCAGGAGCCAGGCACTGGGCATGTTCCTGTCATGCCTATTAACCTAGCCCTGTGTGCATGATAACTTAATTTTTTCCTAATTTGATTGCTTCATCATCTAACTTTAATTTAGCTCATGCTCAAATGGAATTATACTTACCTTCTCTACACTGGATGAATCGAAGTTTGAGTCCACTGACAGTCTTTGAATGTGCAGTAAGGTATTCTTAACCTGATGCTTATAGTCCTAAGGTCTCTCTTTACTCAGCACTCCAAAAAGGCAGCATAATAAGGTTCCTTATGTAAATCATTCTCTATACACAATAGGCCTGTTTCTGCACTGCCTATCACTGTTGTGTACATCTGTGTAAGGGGAGTGCCCAAGTGTAGTGGTAGAAATGATTAACTCAAGATGCAAGGCTGGGGAGAAGCAGGTTTTGTGTAAAAGCATGCATGACTAATAACATGTTGTCCAGTGGATCAGATTAACTGAAAATATTGAGTAATGGAAATCAATGCCATAAACTTCACTTGCAAGTCTAAGGAACAACCAATATTCAATTGCAAATTAGTGCTTTTCTGATCATCGGCAATTAAGAAAAAGAGCTAGGAAAACATCTGACCAAAACCAAACTAAATTTAAGCTGAAAAGAAGTTTTCTAATAGATACTGCAAGATAAATTAAGGGCCATGAGCACACACAAGCGAGCAGCATGCCAATGCTTTCTCATTATATGCACACAAATGTAACTGCTGGTGCTTTGTGACAAAGCAGACTCATTGCTCATAATTATGGAATTACAGGGAGACAACTCCATGGTGCACCCGAGCGTAGAATGCCACTAAAAAGCCATCTACTTATTTCCCTTGAAATGAATTATCCAATCTGCTTGGCACAATATTGCCAAAACAAAAATCAATTTTTTAATAATGCCAATTAAATTTTGTAGCAGTAGAGAGCACCATAAAAAAGAAAACTACATGGTGACCATATTACTTAGTGCAGTGACTCAGATAGTCTAACTCGGAGCTTTAGCTGGAATGGAGCCCAAGTTCGTGACAGGTGTATGGGTAGTTAATTACAGAATCTTAGGCCTTTTTCTGCTCCAATTTCTAGTAGGTCATCCATTTCTTTCCTCTCCCCCTCTCACCTTCAAGTGCAGTGTTATTCTCCAGGGTATTTATTATTAGTAGGTTCGTTTTAAATGTGCAAAGTGATTCTAGATTTCTCCACTTCCTTTGGGGGAGACTATTCCACATTCTAATTGATTTCACTATCAAGAAGTTTTTTCCTTGTATTGAGTCTAAATTTCCCCTTTCTTTATTTCATCCCATTTTTCTTGTTTGCTGTTACCACACTGAATAAATCCTTTCCCTCTTTGTTGTTCACATCCTTCAAATACTTGTAAGATGATATCCTACGTTGCTTGTCACTTAGCCAAGTTATGAATATTTAGGTCCTGGTGCTGCAAACACTTATGCAGTGTGAGTAACTTTATATAGACGAATACGCCTATTGAACTCAATGGGGTGTTCACCTGTGTAAAGTTAAGTGCTTGAGTGTTTGCAGTATCAGGGGACTTAGCTTTTAAATCTTCTCTCATACACTAGCCTCTCCATCCCCCTAATAATTTGTGTTGTTTTTCACTTAATTGCCTGCATAATGTGATGCCCAGACAAATACGCCATGTCAGGTACAGTTGCTCCAGAACTGTTCAGAGAGGGAATGTCACATCCTTGGTGAAGTGGGATTCCTTTGCATATGTTATCCAAAATAGCATTGGTCCTGTTTTTGCTATGTAGAATATCACAAACTCACATCTAATCTGCTGTTCCAGATTTTTCTCTCTGCTTGTTTATTTCTGGTTAGGATTATTTCTCCCTAAATGTATGAATTTGCATTTTTCCAAGTCAAATCTCCCAACCATATTGCTCACTATAATTCCCTTTCTCTTATTTCTCTGTCCATCCTGTAACTTCTAACACCTCCCAAATTAGTGGCATCTGCAAATTTAATCAGCCTGTTCCTTTATCATCATCAAAGATGCGAAGTCTACTGAGGACTGTTGTGCCAGCCAAAGTGACCACAGCTGATAGCATCTCAGCAGGAATCATATAGTGAAGTTACCAGATCTGGCTCAGTCCCGTGAATCCAGAAATGTCTGGAGCAGTGCTGCAGGTGATGCCATTTAGGATCAAGGCATGCACCTCTTTTCACATCAATAGAGAATACGGTGTACTGTGGTGCATTTGTCCATCCTGGCAACATGGCTGAAGAGCATTCAATGCTGCTTTTGAATTTAGTGAGTGGCTGGAGAAAGGCCAGATCTCTGCAACATTATGGCATTTCACACAAAGTCAAACCAGTTTATGCTCAGAATTTGGTGCTGAGAGTGCCTATAAAACAGCCTTCTAACATTCCCATCGCAAAACCAGATGGCTCTTCCCCCTTATCAACAGATCCATATTTTTAAACTCTGTCCTTTGGGGGTGTTCTTTTAATTAAAAACTTCAAAGTTTTTTTCATAACTTAAAAAAAGTACATCTGGTTTTAAGTAATGTATAAAAGGTGTTTTTTTATGTGCAGTGAACTATAATTATACCAAGATTGTATCCCATGGAGTTGTGTGCTTGTGTAAATAAGAAGATAACAGAATGGGGGCTATCCACTTTATTGCACTGAATACAGCATGTATGATTACCTGCCTTGTGGGCGGGTGGTGTATGTGTGCATTTGGTGCAAGGAGCTCATGACCCTCAGAGACCAAGTTCGGGCTCTGGAGACCAGAGTGGCTGATCTAGAGCTAAGGGAGACAGAGAGGTACATAGATCAGACTTTCCGGGACACAGTAGAATGGTCCCACCCCCAGTCTGACAGCCTCTGTGCTGTTGAGGAGGATGAAAGTCTCAGGGAAGGAGAACATCAAAGTGGAGCAGTCGGAAACTATCCCGTAGTTGGGACCCTGCTTCCAGATGATGTCATGGTCTCCTCTAGCATTGATGATGCCTCTCTGGGTGAGGGAACTCCAATTATTAGGAAGAGACCGGTAATAGTAATGGGGGATTGGATCATTAGAAATATAGGTAGCTGGGTTTGCGATGACCAGGAGAACCGCATGGTGAATTGCCTGCTGGGTGCAAAGGTAGAAGATCTCTTCATAGAAGATTAGGGTTGGAAGAGACCTCAGGAGGTCATCTAGTCCTACCCCCTGCTCAAAGCAAGACCAATTCCCAACTAAATCATCCCAGCCAAGGCTTTGTCAAGCCAGGCCTTCAAAACCTCTAAGGATGGAGATTCCACCACCTCCCTAGGTTACCCATTCCAGTGCTTCACCACCCTCCTAGTGAAATAGTTTTTTCCTTATATCCAACCTAGACCTTCCCCACTGCAACTTGAGACCATTACTCCTTGTTCTGTCATTTGGTACCACTGAGAACAGTCTAGATCCATCCTCTTTGGAACCTGCCTTCAGGTAGTTGAAGGCTGCTATCTCTTGAGACATCTAGACAGGCTTATGTGTAATGTTGGGGAGGAGCCAGGGGTTGTGGTACATGTAGGTACCAAAGACATCGGTAAAGGTAGGAGAGAGGTCCTGGGGGCCAAATTTAGGCTGCTAGGTAAGAGATTGAAGTCCAGAACCTGCATGGTAGCATTCTCTGAAAGCTTCCGGTTCCATGCACAGGCCCACTTAGACCTACAGAACTGCAAGGTCTCAATGCATAGATGAGACAGTGGTGCAGGGAGGAGGGGTTTAGATTTATTAGGAGCTGGGGAACCTTTTGGGAAAGGAGGATTCTATACAGGAAGAATGGGCTCTACCTAAACCAAAATGGAACCAGATTGCTGGCAGGTAAAATTAAAAAGGTCATAGAGGAGTTTTTAAACTAGGGCTGGGGGAAAGACAACAGGTGTGGGAGAGAACACGGTTCAGACAGAGACATCCCTTAGGGGAGGATCTATTAATGGGGATTCTCTATGTCCTAGTAAGAGGAAAGGATGGAAGGTGATAAAGTACAGGTAGGATCTGATGAGAAACAGTCAATGAAAAAGAGTCCCATTCAATTACATCACATAATGGCAGACAGCTAAAAAGTGACAAATTTTGTAAGTGCTTATATGCAAATACTAGAAGTCTAAATACTAAGATGGGTGAACTTGAGTGCCTGGTATTAAATGAGGATATTGATATAATAGGCATCACAGAAACTTGGTGGAATGATGATAATCAATGAGACACAGTAATACCAGGGTACAAAATGTATACGAATGACAGAATAGGTTGTGCAGGCGGGGGAGTGGCACTATATGTGAAAGAAAGCATAAGTCAAATATAGTAAAAATCTTAAATGACCTTCTCAAGGCTGCTTCCCCACTCTGAACTTTAGGGTACAAATGTGGGGGCCTGCATGAAAACTTCTAAGCTTAACTACCAGCTTAGAT